AAAAAAAAAAAAAAAAAGGCTTCAAACAGACCAACTGCTGGACCCTATTTAAAATCTGATTCTGGAGCAGCTCTTCGCTGAGAGTAAAAGATCAATATATCATTGATTAACTGTCACTGATTTTTTTTAATGACTCTTGCACAGTTTTACAAGTAGGAGTGACAAGTGGCTGTCTTTGAGTGAGATGTTGAATTATTCACTCAACCGATTTGTTCAAAAACACCGATCGATTCAGGAACACCACTACTGCAGTGTGTGAGACTGTGTGTCAAGCTCACCTTGCTGAGGAACATGGCATAGTATCTATGGAGAGGCAAATGAAAGGTCAGCTGGTTGAGGGCAGGCTGTGACAGAGAGACAGAGGGGGGTTACTCGCTGGTTCCACGTTTATCAAGACAATTATACAGCGTAAACATCAAGACCGTACCTCATCTACAAACCCAATGGCATCAAACCACATCTGAAGAGTTTCCAGACAGTAGCGCACCACTGTTTTAGTGTACTCTTGGGTTTCCTGACAATACACAACATGTTTAGTTCATACACAAGCCTCTTTAAAACAGGGTCTGTTCACACAGAATGCGATTATGAATTCCACTGCACTGCTTTTCCATCGTTTTTTAATGTAAACATGCACTAGACTGAGTAGTAGTAGTATATGTTTATTTAATGCCATGTCAGCATCTTAGGCTATTTTCATGGCAAAAGCAATACAAGTATAACAAATACAATAAAAACCAGCAAGCAAACAAACACAAGTTATATTACACACGATGTTTTGCACTAGACGGATGTGTTTGATCGCTGAACAAGTGTTTCATGTCTTTTGCAGCACCTTGCGCACGACTCAGTGCTCACATTCTACTGCTTGCATTTTTTAAAGGGGTCATCGGATGCCCATTTTTCACAAGTTGATATGATTCTTTAGAGTCTTAATGAAAAGTCTATAACATACTTTGATTAAAAATTCTCAATGGTAGTGTAAAACAACACCCTTTTTACCTTGCCAAAAACAGCTCTTTTCAGAGCAAGCCGTTTCGGTGCATGTCCCTTTAAATGCTAATGAGCTCTGCTGTCCCCGCCCCTCTCTTTCATGGGGTGACGAGCCGTTCTCATGAGACCGTTTACTTTAGCCGCGAAACTTGCTAACTAGCACATTATTAGGAAAGGTGATTTGCAAAGATTCATAAAAAAACCTTCTCATTCTAAAGAATACTCACTTCTTCTGTAGGTGAGGCTGGATCACGAATGATTCGCGCGAACATAAACGCATTTATGTAGATCGGGGCGCATTCCCTTCAGAAACAATGTAATCCACTGCGAGTTCAGTGGCTCAGATGTCGGGAGTAAATGACGACTGCTATGTTCATTATTACATCCAACAACAAAACACTTCAGTCGCTTAGGAGCCATTCTTGTCTACATCCGCTCCGGTGGTGAAACAGTGGCGGACTGATGACAGCTCACTCAGGGCGGAGCTAAGGTAAAACGCTAGTGTCAATCAACAACCGTAGGAGGGGCCTGGGTCTGTATGACATCACACAGACAAGCATCTGAGAATGGCTTGATATGAGAAAGGGGAAATGATTTTAGAAGATTGTAAAAAAAACACTGGGTGGATTTTTATCATTATAGGGTGGTTGTGTACACACTGCCAACACACATTTATGTTCAAACAACATGTAAAAGTGCATGTCGCTTCCGATGACCCCTTTATGCAAAAATGTGTTCTGTGTGAATGGCCCCTAAAAGCACCTACTGTACTACAACAATAATTCTAGAAGACACAAACCTGCATTTAAAATATTTAAACGCTAAAAAAGAACTCTGTATGTAGCATCTAAATGAGAGCATTTTAAAAATAAAAAGATGCTGGAGTGTGATGCATGCAGAGATGACTGTAGCCTCACTTTGACTTTGCAGTGTGTCAGGAGACCCCACATGGGCTGAGCACAGGCCTCCAGCTCAGCTGCAAACGCTGCATAATACGTCTGAGACTCAAACTCCACGTGCTCATTCAGCTCTCTCTTATTCAGATTCATCCCTAACACAGCAAAAGGCACAGAGAGGAAATCCATAACATCAGAGTGAATCATTGACTTGCTGAGATCAAGTTTCAGCTGTAACATACGTTCTTTAATTCTAATCAACAAGCCTTAATGACCTTTCTAAAATGAATAGTCCTGAATGCTTTTTACTATGTAGTTAGCATTTAATAAAGACGTTCAAGACCAAGCCATATTCTAAGTGCAGTCACAATATCAATAGCCGGAACTATTTTACAACAAAGCATAGCCTCTCATAACTCATTGCTTGATTAAGCAAACACTAATTCATTTGCATTTTGCCATTCATAGGACTGAAGGAAAAAAGCACTACAGAATTGTAAAACAAAAATGAGTGCGGGATTTTCTCTCAGTTATTGACCTTGGAAGAAGGAGACGAAACTCATCCATAGCAGCAGCAGAGAATGATCCTCCAGGAAGCGCTTGGCCACACTTTGGTGCGAGAGGATATTAATAAAATCACTAACTAAAGGCCAGTAGGTGTTATTCTTCAGTAGAGCTTCACCACAGTTCACCACCACGTGACGATTGTTCTCCTCATCTGTGACAGATTGAAGGCATTAAGACATTTTGTAGCCAGCAATCCAATAACTTTGCAAACGGTGCAGCATAGTAGAAAGCCATTTGGAACACAGCATACAGCGTGTCTGTTTTGTTACCTTGCAGTTCGCTCTTGATAAGGCAGCTCTCCATCATGTAGAGGAGCACAGTGACCATGATGTCCAGTAACTGGCACTCCTCTGTGACGTGTCTCGCCAGCTCCTCGTTACTGAAGAGCTGCACGCTGATGTGAACGATGCGGTTAGACATGGTGTCCGACTCGTGACTCTTCATGAGGGTCTTCATGATGAAGGCATAGTGTTGTACAAATGTTTTAGTGAACGTGATCTGTGGCGCAGGAGAAGGAAGTCCACATTACAGATTTTGGTTAAAAAAATAATAATAATTTGGAGACCATGGACCGGTTGCACGAGCTGTACGTTATGTAGTGGTGTAAAGGGAATAGAAGTTGAATTTACACACCATTTCGTTTTTGTAGATATTTGGATCCACATATTTGTTAGACTTAGATGAATGATGATTAGGAAAAATTATTTCAATGCTTTTCCCTCGTGTTCCTATCGCAAAAGTACTGCTTTTTCTTTCAAAACATTTGCGTTCCCTCAAGAGCCACATATCTCCATCACAAAAGTTTGCGTGCAAAGTTTCTCAGGGAACGCAAAAGTTTTGCATGTGAAAGGAAAAGTTTTGTAAACAAAAGCATTGAAGTATATATATATATTCACCATGTCTCTTAACAGAACAAACACTGAAGGTAAACTTCATATTATGCGACTACTACACATTACTTTATGGAGAGCTTAGCTTACAACCTACTAGCTACAATCAGTCTTAATAACACATGGTGCAACAAGATAAAGTACAGTGTTGGTTGCTAGCAGTTAAGAACTCATGAACATCTGGTACAACACTACTCATATGTACAAGGTCCAATATTAACAGAAAGAATAACAACTCGAAATTTACCAGCGATTTAAAAGTTAATTTTGGACCCTGCACATGTAAGAGTTTAACAGCATTAAATACCTTGTAATCCTGATCTGGCAACATGTTGAGCAAAAAAGTGACCATCTTCTGTGGAAATTCATACTTAATAGTCCAAAACAATAACTCTTCTAAAAAACATTTATGTTTCAGGGAGTCCATTATGGATGGATCTAACAAAACAGGAAAAGAGCAAGGAGATGGAATTGTTTTGTTACTACAGTACATTATTTGGGGAATAACTGTTCAAGAGATTTAAGAATGATGAGATGTAATGGGATCTACCTTTGGTACTGCTACTGAGCTTCACTCTTTTCCTCTGGCCCACACCCTGCAGCCCATCCTGATCCTCCTGTCAAACACAGACGTGAACCGCTTTTCATTTGATCTGGGGCTTGATTCATAAAACAATTTTACCAAATAAGTCAGGATTATTTCAGTTAGTCCGACTTATTTTGAACCAGATCAGCTGACAATAAGTCAGACTAACTGAAATAAACCTGGCTTATTTGGTAAAATTGTTTTATGAAACAGGCCCCAGCCCTTCTCAACAATGAGCACAGCTAAAACAATGTCCTTTGACAAATCGGTTCAGTGGCCAAAAAAAAAAAAAAGGCGGCTGCATTCTCAACAATGACAAAGGGAAGACACACCCTGCTGTGCTTGTTTTGACTGGTTGCTGGGTCACATTTTATCTATCCCGCAAGTCTGTGTGCCTACCTCTTTGCTAGAGTCCTCCAGACTGGCAGCAGCAGTAGCTCCTAAAATAATAACAAACATGAAGACAAATATTGTTACCAAAGTTTCAAACCTGTCTCTCCCTATTGACCCATCAGGAATAAAGCACAGAAGAGGCAGCAGGTGTTACCCAGTAGACTGAGCGCTCCTGCCCCAGCTGGAGTATCTGTTGCCCCAGCTCCTGCTCCTTTCTCCTCCACTGACACCAGACCTGAACTCTTCAATGCTGACAAATACTTCTCATAGTTCCTCTTCGCATAAACATTCTCCTCTTGACCTGTGGGTGTGGGACAACAAAAGTGTGAACATAAAACTGAAAATGAGTTTGAGTTTTAAAGGGGGTCATATGAAGTGTGAAAAACATCTTCCTCAGACAAAAAAAAAAAAAAAAAACCGCTTAATTAAAAATAGTTGAATTGATGATGTTCATACATCAATGCATAGAAGTCAGTAACAACAGTTCAGAAACATTAAATAATGGGGAAGTAGGACATAGGATACGCTTTCAAAAATAAGGTTCTAAAAGGGGATTTTTGCAGCAATGCCACAGAAGAACCATTTTTAAACAACCTCTCAGTGAACCATTTGTTTACTGTGGAAAACATTTGAATAAACTGAAGAAACTTGTTCCACCTTAAGGAAGCTTTTATGAAATGGAAAGGTTCCATGGATGGGATCAAAGATGCCAATAAAGAACCTTTATTTGTAAGCTTGTATGTGCTATTATCCTAAACATTTGTGATCCTGGACCACAAAACGGGGTCAATTTTAAAACCCTAAAATAAATAAGCTTTCCATTGATGTGTGGTTTGTTAGGATATGACAATATTTGACCGAGATACAACCATTTTAAAATCTGGAATCTGAGGGTGCAAACAAATCTAAATATTGAGAAAATCGCCTTTATAAGCAATGCATATTACTAATAAAAAACTAAGTTTTGATATATTTACAGTAGGAAATTTACTAAATATCTTAATGGAACATGATCTTTACTTAATATCCTAATGATTTTTGGCATAAAAGAAAAATCGACAATTTTGACCCATAAAATGTATTGTTGGCTATTGCTACAAATATACCCCAGCGACTTAAGACTGGTTTTGTGCTCCAGGGTCACATTTAGTTAACTAACAGAAAGTTGCCAAACATTGTGATGTTTATGGCTCCCAAATAAGCCTAAGTTTAACAAGATCCATGATCATTGCACATTTCCATGCAGTAAATATCGGTATTTGTTTCACATTAGAAGAAGACAGCCAATCATAAAGGTCATTGGCATATATAGGTTTTTAATGGCACGGCAACAAAAACAGACTTTTTAATTGTACGGGTGAGAGAGAGTGGAAATGGTCAAATAAATAAATAGAAATGTGATAAATACAACCCCAGGAAACAAAAGGTAATTAAAAACTCAAAAACAAGATGCATGCAGACACTATTTGAACAACGTTACTTTTTTACAGGCAATCCCAACACATTTCAGACATACTCACCCATGCTCAGTTCTTTAAAGGTCTGCTGATTGGTTAAGATCTTGGTGAGAACAGTGCGCATGGCCCCGCCCATCTTGGTGAGCTCTTCTAAGAAGGATATGTGCAGGTCTAACTGCTGCAGAACCTTCTGCAGATCTCTGTCAGCGGCCGACTCTGCCAGCACATGATAAGATGTTTGTGTGTGTGACAAAATAAAGCAGCATATGTTACCCCACTGGGCACAATTAGCAGGCTCAGCCAGTACACGCCATAATATTATTCAAAAGCACAGCGAAAGCAGTTGACGTTATTTCACATCGCTGATGATCTTATTCATTGCTGGGTTTTTATATCCAATTTTTGTTCTGATCAGTTCATAAGCTGAGTCCACTGAACCAGCTCCAAACTAAACAGATCCCATGAAATCAAAATTGGAGTATTGTGGCTTTTAGTTCATGTCTATGAGCTTTGAGGCAATCTAGTGTATAAATTAACACAATAGCCTTTAGCTGACAGACGCATTTTAAAATATAGAATTTCTAAACGGAAAATGGAACTTATTGATGACCCCATCATGGAAGGAGGAGCCTTTGATACTCCCCGCCCCAACTGTTCCAATAGGAAATATATCAACATAGGACGCTTGTATGCTCGAGAAACCATTTTTATGTGGTCTCTGAAGTAGTTACAGCAGTATGCAAATGAATGAAGACCGTTGGTAACTGAACAATTTTGATTCCCATTAACTTCCATTATATGGACAAAATATGGGTAGACAATATGGATAGGCATGGATTGATCACCAACATTTTGACATAAAAAACCTTCAGATTTACTCACCCTCAAGCAATCCAAGATGTAGATGACATCACTTGCTCGCAAATAGATCCTCTGCAGTGAATGGGTGCCGTCAAAATGAGAGTCCAAACAGCTGACAAAAACATCATTATAATAATCCACAGAAACATCTAATAATCATGTGAAGTGAAAAGCTGTAACAAACAAATCCATCATTAAGACGCTTTTAACTACAAACCATTGCATCCAGCTAAAATAAGAGTCCTCTATTCATAACATTGCTTTCTCCAGGGAAAAAAGCTGTCTTGTCTGAATAAGGAGAGAAATATGCACAGACCAAGCATAATTTGCGATCCAAAACAGTCCAACACAGTTGTCGGTGGATTTTGATGTGAGGACAATTTTTTCACTGGATAAAGTGTTGTTGTTTATTATGGACTTATATAGCCTATTGTTCAGAAGTGATGTTTAAAGTTAAACTGCCTTGATAGATTTGTTTGTTTGTTTTTTTACAAACATGCAGCTTTTTACTTCACAAGATGTTAACTGATGGACTTGAGTGGTGTGGATTACTTCTGATGTTTTTATCAGATGTTTGGACTCTCATTCTGACGGCACCCATTCACTGCAGAGGCTTAAGTAGTGAGCAAGTGATGCAATTTCTCCAAATCTATTCCCATAAGGAAACAAACTCATCTACATCTTGAAGGGCCCGAGGGTGAAACTTCCAACAATTGTATTTTTTTTAGGTGAAGCATTTCTTTAAGGTGTGATCTGGTGTCCTCACCTGGCTCAGTGTAGCCGTCTCTCAGGTACTGAATGATGGTGATGATAAACCGCGGCAGCACCATCTCAGACATGAGCAGCAGATCCCGAGGGACTGATGGCACATTCTCTCCCGTTTTTAACCGATGCCTACTGCAAAACCTGTCACACAAGAGCACTTGAATTAGAATTTTATTCAGCTGAGCTGAATTTGCGGTTTAGTGTACAACAATTCCATTTTCATTGTAATATTGATAACTGGAAAAACCCCAGTCTTGCCTGCATTAAAGAACATTTGAATCCTATCTATCTGATGTCTGAGGTCACAGTCTGTTTTCATAAAGCTCAACGGGTCGATGCACTACAGAATATGCAATTCTTCAGGGTTTCACTAACATAGAGGAGGTGTGTTAGATCAGCGCTCAAAAATATCATTATACAACAGTGTATTTTCCCCATTAATTTTCATCGCTGAGAGTTCAAAAATGGGTAGGGCCAAACTAGCCAGCTCAGAGGTGAAAAACAGACAAACTTTAGTTTTTTTTTTAATTGGGAATGCACTATTTATCCCATTAAGCAATGCAACAGACACAATATAAAATATACATTCAATGGCATCTACAAGTCAGTTCTAAATTATAAGCATAAAAACATTACTCTTTATTGAAAAATGTTTATACATATAGAAATATGCAAGTAGACTGGGAGTGTGGAGAGTAACCCTTTGTCCAAATACCCACACTTGCGGTCTTGGCCACTTGAGAGCGCTATTTTGTACAACATTTGCAACTGCTTTTTATCACTTAATTAGAAGCACCACAAATTAAAATTGTCATGTTATAGGGACTACTGAACAGACATTTAGAAGTTGATTTTAAAATGCAAAGTAATTAAAATTAAAATTAAAATAAAGCTATGTAAACACTTGCATTTTTACAACACTACAAGTGTGTCCCATCAGGTAATGAAAAGTTCGACACACACTTGTGGTCTTCATGCTCACTTGAACACTTGGGCCAAATACAGGAAATATGTCATATAAGTAGTCAAGTGGTCAAGTGCAAAGACCGCAAGTGTGGGTATTTGGACAAGGCAAAAGTCTCGATTACACCAGTCACAATGCTTCATGGGAGTCAGTGGCTGCTGCAGAGTTCATTTCTTGCGGTTTTCTTTTCCATGGTAACTGCGACTTCTCTGATTGGTCAATCTCTGTTCAGAATTATGGGTAGTGTATTTCCCTCACAAAAATACCGGCTATTAAAGTCACAATGAAATGCAAGCAATGACAGATCTTTTCTTTCGCATTCCGACATATTATACATGTATAAAGGCTTAATGAAACCGTAAAAACAAATGCAGAGCAAGGACTAGATTCTACACATCGATTGTTGATTGGATTTTGAGATGTTCCACTAAAGACAAGGAGGCGGATGAATGACCAAATGGTTTTGGAGGGCTGAAACAGCAGCATTTAATTAGCACGTTTCTGTGCACACAAAGAGGACAAGCTACAACAGGTAAACGTCAGCTGTGCGTACGCTAGGGCTGGGTTGACAATATTGATTTTTGGATTTTACTTTATCTTAATTTTGATAAACCAATATCGATGCTTAAATCCCATTGTTTAGCAGCTAAATGAAAACTAAATGAATGACAAAGCATTTCAGTGCATGGCTTATTTAAGCTCTGGAACCCCACAGTGCTGTTTTAGCATTTATAGCACCTGTCACGTCACATATTACTGATAACCTAAAGATTAAGCTGTAAGAAGGACACACAGTTAATATCTTCAGTAAACTTGGCAGTGAACATGGCTAAGACGACCATGGATTTTTAAATAAGAATATTTAAATAAGAATAGAGATGGCTGGGTCTAGTGGACAGTCACTTTGAATCAGAAAGAACATGCAAGTAGTTTGATGTCACTCTCCACAGCAAAAGCAAAAGTGTTAGTGGAGTTGATGTTTTTTTTTTTTGTTTTTTTTTCACACTACACTCCTTCCAAGAATAAAACTGGCAATATCCTCATTCCTGTACAGCAGAACATGTTGTGATAATTAAACCCTTTACTGATCAAATACAGCGAATCTTTTGAGCTCCAGCTGACAGCAGTCATATCCGGCCCCCATTTGTGAACCTCCACACGTCTGTCTATCTGTCTGTCTATCTCACAGCATAAACGTTTCAGCGAAGGCCCTGTGCAGTGTGTGGTGTGAGAGCAGGAAGGGAAGACCTGTCACTGACCCTGTGGGTGGGTTAAAAATAACCCAGACTGTGTCACTCTCTGTAAGGCAGTGATCAGGTGCCACAGCCCACTCTACACTATTAACCCCCCCCGACACACCGGCCCTTATGTTAGTGCATTGATACAGTATATACACATCAATGCACAGCTGTGCCCAAAACCAAACCAGTTGGCACACTCAACATTTGAACAGTGTTGATTCGAAAAGACACAACACTGTAAAAATGATTTTTCAAAACTGTCTGCTTTACAGGACTTTTTAAATCTTTCTACTTCAAAAGGTCACATTTAATCAATGTATTACATACAATTATTTGTGAAATTTACTAGCCATTTCTGGTTGAAAATTGTTTCAAAGAAAATCCTACACCATTTTTGGTGCATAAAATGCTGGGAATTCTGGTCATTTTTGACACCCAAATATTTAGTTGATTTGGAACATGTCTTTGGTGCCCAGAAACACCTATGGTATAAACCAAAGTTCACTATAGGTTTGAGGGCGTTTTGCCCAAAAATACTGCTGATTCAGAACAGGCCCATGAAGAGGAGATACTGAGAATTCTAGTCGAGTTTGAGAATCAAACCAGCTAATTCTGGTGTCTATGATGGCCAAAAATAATGCTGAACTAAAACACCTCAAAATAAGATGCTGATTTAGAACTAGGGTTGCAAAGGGGTGGAAAATGTCCGGTAAATGTCCAGAAACTTTCCAAAAATCCCTGGAATATTCCAAAAAATCCTGGAAAGTTTCCAAAATTTCTGGAATATTTCTGAAATTTACTGGAAATATTCCACCTTTTTGCAACCCTATTTAGAACACGCCAGTGTTTTCATTCTTTCTGTCTAGGTAAGTTTGTGACAATGCCCAAAAATGGTGTGAATTCAGGATGGATAGGTTGGCACAATAGGTTGGACACACATGATGTGATAGGTCAGTGATGGGCAAACTTGGCCCTTCCAGGCCACTTTCCTTCAGAGTTTAGCTCCAACCCTAATCAAACACACCTGAACCAGCTAATCATTGTCTTCAAGACTACAAGGCGGCTACAGGCAGGTGAGTTTTATCAGGATTGGATCAAATCTCTGCAGGAAAGTGGCCTGGAAGGGCCAGGTTTGCCCATCACTGCCCTAGGAAGTCACTCAGGTCTCTAGCTTAAGTTGAGAATATGATGCACAGAAATACAGCAGGCTTAGAAACACTGATACCCAGTAATGCTGTCCTTAATTGGTGAGGCTGCTCACTAAGTTTTGAGACTATTATGCAAAAAACACTAGTCGGGATGTGCCTATACGTGGTTTCCAGAAACACCGTCTAGGTAGACAGCTCATTAAGCGATGCCCAAAATGTCTGCTTATTTGTGGTACTCCTATGATGCTGCTGAACCAGAACGCAACTATACTGTGATATCAACAAGCCACTGTTATGAGGACCAAAAATTGTGCTGATAATGATGACTAGGTAGACAGCCAGCGTACATGGTTTGAGATTATTACACTCCCAAATACTACATATTTAGAATTCATCTAATATATCATACAATCAAAAAGTTGTATGGGTAGTCAGCATGCTAGGTGTTGTGACTGATTGCTATAATACTGCTGCAGGTCTTATGACCGGTGTTATTTTATCATCATTAATACACCATTATATTTTTGATAATATTGTGAATTAGATTCGGTTTTTATTTTGGTTTTACGTTAATATTACGTTTTTAGTTATTTTGTTTATCATTTTTATTATTTTAGCACTTCAACTTACACTAAACAAAAACGAAAAATGTTTCCTCGTTACTAGCTGACATAAAATATCTTTTTAAAATTTAAGTTAAGTTTTAGTTAACAATAATAGCCCAGACTGTTATGCTTTAAATATAAATAATAATCATCATCATCATAATTATAATAATATGTCAAGACAGGCAACTTTATGATAAAATCCCCAAAACAGCTTCTAGCTCTGGATGTGCCTATATTATAATTCACAAAAATAATGTGTCGCTAGGTTTGGGACTAGGAGTACTCTTACGATGCCCAACATGCAGCTGAACCAGAATGCACCTATAAAAATAACAAAAATGCTGTGGATTTGGAACACAGGAAGGAAGGGAAAAAACAGACTGGGTAGGCTTAGCTTACAAGTTCAAGACTTTGATTTCCATGATACGAGTTCACCTACAGCATCGCGCTATTAAAATGCTGTCTATGTAGTCATCACATCAGGCTGGAGACTATGACCCTTAAATTCTGCTGGTCATTTGTGACCCTGGAGCACAAAACCAGTCTTAAGTCTTAAGTTGTAGCAATAGCCAACAATACATAGTATGGGTCAAAATTATAGATTTTTCTTTTATGCCAAAAATCATTAGGATATTAAGTAAAGATCATGTTCCATGAAGATATTTTGTAAATTTCCTACCGTAAATTTGTTGATTAGTAATATGCATTGCTAAGAACTTCATCTGGACAACTTTAAATGCTATTTTCTCAATATTTTGATTTTTTTTTGCACCCTCAGATTCCAGATTTTCAAATAGTTGTATCTCAGCCACATATTGTCCTATCATAACAAACCATACATCAATTAAAAGCTTATTTATCCAGCTTTGATATGATTTATACATCTCAGTTTCCAAAAATTGACTTGTGACTGGTTTTGTGGTCCAGGGTCACATTTGCGATATGCTTGTGTTATGATGCTCAATAATAATAATAATGTCGAGATAGGCAACTCGCAGGGTTTCACGTTATGATCTCCAGAAACGCAGCTGATGTTGTGCTGCGCCTAAGCGCCTAACGTTATGCTATGACGCCCAAATCCGCGGCTGGCTCGGGATGCGCCTAAACGCTGTCCAGGGTTTGAGACACAGCCCCTGTCAGTCTGTGAGTGTCTACTGACCCGCTCGCTCTCATCACGTTCCCGTCCCCGCAGTCACAGGCCCCGCCGGCCTGACTCCGGAACATGTTAAAATCGTGGCCCGTGTGGTCGCCGTTATTGAAGCACTCCGCGCATAACGACATGCACGGCGAGATGCCGCAAGTCCGGCAGCGGTACGCCACGAAGTTGGCGGTCCACACCAGCCCGCAGAGGGTGGCGTTATCGTAGGAGCGGACGGTCCGGCAGAAGTCGTCGAAGCCGTCGCCTCCAGCCAGCAGCCATTTACACCAGTCCAGCGCCTCCGGGTCCGAGCCCCGCTCCGCGTTCAGCACGCTATCCAGCAGCTCCTGCAGCTGCCGCAGCCCCGAGCTGTTGTCAGTCCTCTTGAGGTCTGCCTTCAGATGGGCGGCGGTGGATTTCTTGTCCCGGCGCAGCAGCGACGCCGCCATCATGCGCTACGGGTTTGTTGTGCTCACTTTATTTTGGTTGTCTTGTTGCTGTGATCGCGGCGCTTCTCGCGAGATCTCGTTGCTACGGCTCTCTTGCGCGTCTCGCGAGAGTGGCGTGAGACCGAGAGAGCTAAAAGAGGCAGAGGTTTGCGGATCAGAAATTACATTTACTTTATTGGAAGGTTTTATGTCCATAAATGTAAATATACTAAATGTAAACCCAATTTTAACATCTTCAAACAAGAACTGAAATTGTATTTAAATACAATTTCAACGTCTCTTGTTAAATCTTTTCTCACTGAAATGCAAATCAATATCTAACCTTTATATATTGTGTTTTTTCTGGATTTTTTTTGGTTGGTATTCTGTCTCTATCCATTAAAATAAACCTACCATAAAAATTACAGACCCTTCATTTCTTTGTAAGTTGGCAAACTCACAAAATCAGCAGGGGATCAAATAAATATTTCCCCCACTGTATAATATATAGGCTATATATAATATTAATCACAAGAAACAGCTAAACCAGGGAAACAAAATCATTTCTGAGATGAAATGACATATGACATATCTTCCAATTGTGATAATAAATGTTAATATACTAAATAAACAAGAAAGCTATAAAAACATCTAGAACTTGTGCCATGTTTAGTATTCTTCACTTGGATCTTTATTTGTGTGCCCTCTCTCTCTTTTTAGCCTACTCCTTTCTGTCGATTTCTTAAGAATTTTTATATCATATTCTACTTCTTCTGTTAACTATTAAACCATAATTCGTTTTTTATTGAAATGTTTTTGTATGTTTTTACGTACTGTATTTTCAGTTTGTTTTGTAATCTTGTTTGTTATTATTGCAATAAAAAAAGAAATTACATTTACATTTAGTCAGCCGTTTACATTTAGCAGATGTTTTTATCCCGTGAGAAACAGCGCAAGAAATGTATCATAAAGGAGCCAACAACATTTACATTGCCACAAGTTTTAAGAAGTTATATAGTACAAAATGCTACAGCAGAGGTTTTGAATAAAGTGCAGTAAACCTTTAATTGTTTAACATTTTGTCTCTAACTGAACAGATATGATAAATTATATTCCTAATTTAACTTCCCACTGTGTATTTTCAATTCACTAGAATGGAGTTTCTCTTACTAACCTACATTTGCCCAATACTGTAATCCAGAATGTCTTTGTTAAGGAATTATATCTATTTTCTTCAACAACAAAAAAATCAATATTCCAATATTTCTATAAGGATGAAGTTACAATTTTAAGAACAAAATATTAGAAATTTCCAGTTGCACCAAAAATGTTACTTTCCACTGCATATTTTCAGTTCACTGTCACGTGGTACCAGTTATTTTTCGCAGTGGTAAAGATTGACCAATCAGCTGTTTGAGATTGCTGGCATTATATAATGATTTTAGCGAGATTACTGGGTCAAATGTCAATTTGGATGAATGGGACTCCTAATTGTAATTAAGAGTTTAAAACGATTTTAGATTTTAGTGTACAGTTTTCTACAATAAGGCACAAACGTCCTAATATTTTAACGCGTTTCAATGGAGGATTCAGTTCCCTCTGGAGAACGGTCTCTCGACATGGCGTTAACTCCTTGGGGACTCCCTTCCTTCCTAACCTACCTATCTTATTTCAGGTAATCTTATTCTGAAAGATTATCCTGAAAGCGGGTGCTACGCTGCCATCAAGGCCCTGCCCTCTGACCGCACACGTAACGGACATAGCGTACGCTGCCTTGGCAGAAGCGATCTCGGAGAGGCACAGAAATGCTCCAAGGCGATGAGTCACTTCCTGCCGCACCGGGCTGCTTCATCTGCTTCCAACCGGCCGTCGAAGCGGCCCCCCTCTGCTTCCGCTTCATCTGCGCCGGACCCAGAGCCTTTTGTTCATGCCAAAACTCCGTAGCAGAGGACACCGAAGGGGCGTCACGGCTTCAAGAAAGGTGGCCGTCCTAGGGGAGCTCCTCCGTCGAAGCAGAAGCCTCGTTCCTGACGCCGGGAGGGTACAGAGGAGGAGAGCGCCGAGCGACGGGCCCACAATAAAGCGTCCAAGATGTTCTCGCGAAGTCCCCTTGGCGGTTGCAGGCGACTACGAGAATGTCTGTGTTGTGTATGTTCAAAATGCAATAAAGTCTGTGACACCCTCACAAAAAGAGCTTTTTTCTCCTCCTCCAGTGATAGCAGCTTCACACTCGTGAAACCGTCAATAGAGCCGGGCTTGCAGCTTCCCCTTGTATCTGGCGATGGTATACAGCGGCGTTGCTCAGAATTCAGAGGGCGAGGCACTCCGCCCTCTGTGTCTTTTTGCAAGCGCATGGCGGTCCATTTTGGGCAATTCGGATTGGTTACGGAACGTAATAGAGAACGGCTACACACTTCAGTTTCGGCGCAGACCACCCCGGTTCAATGGCGTGGTCATGTCGACAGTTCCGGCACACAACGAGCCGGTTCTGAGGCAAGAAATTCTCCATTTCCTCGCGAAACGCGCGATAGAAGTGGTCCCGCCGAGCGAGAGAGAGAGCGGTTTTTACAGCCGGTACTTTGTCGTTCCAAAGAAAAATGGTGGTCTCCGTCCAATCTTAGACCTGAGATCCATCAACTGTGCATTATACAAACGCGCTTTCAAAATGACAACGCTAAAGCTGATACTCAAGCAGATTCGACCCGGAGATTGGTTTATTTCGGTGGACCTGAAGGACGCATATTTTCATATCCAGATCGCCCCTCGTCACAGGCCCTTTCTGAGATTTGCGTTCGAAGGCATAACGTATCAGTTCACGGTGATGCCGTTCGGGCTAGCGCTAGCGCTGGCGCCGCGTATATTTATGAAATGTGTGGATTTCACTTTCCCCTCTGAGAGCGAGCGGAATACGCATATTGAATTATTTGGACGATTGGCTGGTCTTGGCCCATTCGGAGGGTGTGCTCAACAGCCACAAACGCGCTCTGTTACTTCACCTGGAGAGTTTAGGTCTCTGTGTGAACAAACAAAAAAGTGTGTTACGCCCCTGCCAGTCAATCATGTATCTTGTATCATCTCGATGAGAGCGTGTCTGAGTCAGGAGCACATACGAGATTTAATGTCCACTCTGAATGCACTCAGGCGGTGCCGTCCCGTAGCACTGAAGGAATATCAGAGGATCTTGGGACGGATGGTGGCGGCTGCGACGGTGTGTCACCTCGGTCTGCTCTATATGCGCCCCCTCCAGATATGGCTGAAAACACAAGTACAGAGAAGGGCGTGGAAAACGGGCCGTGCCCGCTTGTGGTCACTCGCAGGTGCTTGAACACGCTGAAACCATGGCGGAACCCCGACCTGTACCAATGCGCGTGGGGGATTTGCAAGTGCTCTCTGTGAAGGCGGACTGCATGCAGTTTGGACCAGGTGATTGTAACATCACGCTCAAGCCAAGATTGGGCTATGTGCCTAAATCGCTCTCGACACCGTTCAGAGCGCAAGTGGTGCCACTTAATGCTTTCACTCCAGAGTTGGAGACTTCATTGGATGCTGCCCCGAATCAGGTGTTGTGTCCGGTGCTGGCTTTGCAAGATTACATCGGCCGCACGGCTCAGTTTCGGCAATCTGAGCAGCTGTTTGTGTGCTTCGGAGGCAGCGCCAAAGGGCAGCCTGTCTCCAAACAACGGCTATCACATTGGGTGGTCGACGCTATTGCCTTGGCCTATTCCAGCCGGGGAATGGAATGTCCTATTGGTGTCAGAGCCCATTCGACGAGGGCGGTTGCCTCCTCGTGGGCGTGGACTAAGGTCGTTTCTATCAAAGATATTTGTATGGCGGCTGTATGGTCTTCGCAGAATACCTTCGCCAGATTCTACATATTTGGAATACCTTCTCTCATATTTGGACGTGTGGTCATTAGCCTCACAGGTCCTGTCGGTGAGTACGACCCATGGTTCTACCTGCAACCACTAGCCGTTTGACTGTGCTGGTGGTTTCGACTAGGTCGTGTAGGGGGATCGGGGGCGGGGCCATCGTCATATTCAGACTGTGGCACACCGGATGCGGCCGTTCTCTATGTGTGTATATTGTTGTTAGTATTGTGCCCGGCCTTGCTGCTCACATGCTTCGTTGCACTGTTATATTACATACTTGTATGCGTTTGACACGACTATAATGTCTTAGCCTTGTATGGCGATGGCGCTGCATCTCTCTCTCAATAAGAGACCTGCCATCAGACATGGATTCTGAGTAACCTGATTGGATCCCTAAGCGGGAATCTACATCCAATCCCCTCGAGGCATGTCGCAGGGTCATATTTGATTGGTTGTCTCCGAAGCGCCAGAGGCGGGTTGAAGACTCTCTTCTGCTCCGCCGAGGCAGAGCCTTTTTACTTAGCTGCTTCCACGCCGTTGTTCTATACAGTCCCCAAAGCATTAACGCCATGTCGAGAGACCGTTCTCGAGAGGGAACGTCTCTGGTTACTGTCGTAACCTCGGTTCCCTGAGAGACGAGAACGAGGCATGGCGTAGGCCGCCGTGTTCACTGCTCAGGTCTACTGTGCTGTTGGTTCAGTCAGAAGATTCTGAGCTTATACCGACAATACGGCGCATTATATAGTGGCGGGGGCCCCGCCCCTATTCACCATCTTGGCTGGCATTGGCCAGTAAGAGTTGCAAATTCACTGGCGTTGTGCAATAAGATTTCAGGTAGGTTAAGGCCAAAGTATACTTTGGCCATCCGCGTCCGCACCGTCCGCATTACGTCATTTTCGTCATCAGGAGGGCTCGCGGACAGCCACGCACCCCGTCCGCGTGCAGGCAATTTTTTGAGACTGCGTGGACGGTCCGCGTACAACAGCGCATGCGCGAGCTGAAAATTGAGACAGAGCGCAAGTCAAGTAGGTGGTACTGCGCCTGTGTCGAGCTCGTCCGTCCGCACTCATCCGCGGTTGAGTATACTTTGAAAGCTGTACGGACGCGGCTGTGCGCGAAACGGAACGGAACGCGGAAAGTAAAGTATACCCGGGCCTTTAGGAAGGAAAGTATCGTTCTCGCAATGTGGGTT